CTTTATGAGAACAAGGAACCCCGGCAAGGAACTCAGAAGATTCTGCTTACCCTGCCCCTTCGTGATAAGAAATGTTGGGAAGTGATCAGTCTGCTCCTGGCCTCTCCTCCTGCTCTCTGGGGCAGCGCTCACTCCAGCACTCTCTCTCAGCTGTCCAGGACCCTCCCACCACTATGGTGCCCCTCTCAGACCACTCTCCCAGAGCTCAGACAGGACTCAGGAACAAGGAGATTCACTCATTCTCTTTAAGGCAGCATGTTCAGAAGAAATGTTACATGAACCACATATGTAATTCTAATTTTTTTGTCCACATGCCGAAGTACAAGAAATTAATAATATATTTTATTTAATCCACCTTATCTAAAATATTCTCATTTTAACATATAATAAATATTAAACATTAATGATGAAATATTTTCCTTTTGGTCCTACTGAGTCTACAAAATGCAATGTGCATTTTATGCCTACAGCACATCGCAGTTTGAACCGGCCATATTTCAGTTGCTTAGAGGCATATGTGACAGGTAGCTGCTGTATTAGACAGTGCAGCTCTAAGGTAGAAATGAATAATCCATGCAGGCTGCCTTACCCAAAAAAATAGGACATGGTAGGATTTCAGTTTCCTTCAAATCACACCACAAAGATGCCTCCAAATTCTTCTAGTCCTGCATCAGGGCTGTCAGACTCAGGGGGCTTAGCGGATAAAGCATGAGTTGTTGTTGTTTTGAGCAAGGTGTTGCTCTGTTACCTAGGTGAGAGTGCAGTGGTGCCGTCATAGCTTACTGTAGCCTTGGACTCCTGGGCTCAAGCGATGCTTCCACCTCAGCCTCTTGAGTAGCTGGGACCACAGGTGCATGCCACCATGCATAGCTAATTTTTAAATTTTTGTAGAAATGGGGTCTTACTATGTCGCCTGGGCCAGTCTCAAGCTCCTGGCCTCAAGCAATCCTCCTGCCCTGGCCTCCCGAAGCACTGGGATTACAGGTGCGAGCCCAGTAAAGCATGAGTCTTCTACTCAGGCAAGCTTGAACTCGGGTCTGAGTTCTGCCACTCTCTAGTTGTGTGACGCTGAACGAGTTGCCTACCTTCAGAACTTGTTTGCTCATGTGTGAAGGAGTGTAGGGCTTCCTGGCAGGTCCCAGTGAAGATGGAGCAGGCTCATGTATGCGTAGCTACTGGCTTGTATACCAGTGGCCTGGCAGGTCCTGGAATCGCAGACCCGCTAGCCCTGGTGTGCTCTGTGAACCCTTTGCCTGTCTTGGAACCATCAGCCATTCAAGAGCTTCCTTGAGGCTTGATGGCATCTCCCCTTGCTTTCATTTTTTTCCCCCAAAAGCCTGGCATTGCCTACACCCACCGCTGGTTAGAACCATCTCTTGCACTCCTTTTTCAATAGCTATTTACTAGATAACCACTATTTCACCCTAGGCCCTTGCTAGGCATGAGGATTTCAACAGAAAGCAAGATAAACATGAATCCTGCTCTTGCAGAGCTCCGGGTCCACCAGGGGAGAAAGGCGTCAAGTGAGGTTGGCCTCAGACCTAAGCATGTATAAAATAGACATTCTTTATTTTCCTTAAAAATCAACTTAATTTCTACTCTGAATTCCCATCCTGCCAGATCATCAGGAAATTCAATCGCAGTCTTTCTTAGAGTTCTCTGACCAAGGTGAGGCCAAGGTCCTGTGGTCTTACACAGTGCCCAAGCACCAGGGAGCCCCCCGCCCCCACCCCAGCAGACATCGGCACCAGCCCACTGTGGTCATGGTGATGCCCACTTGCCATCCTGGCCCATGCAGTTTGGAGCAGAGTCTTGGTGAGGGTGGGAACGTGGGAGCCCAGCCTCCCTTGGTCAGCCTGCATTCTGCCCCTTGGAGGTGAATTGTTTCTGTGAGCCCTATTTCAGAGCGTACATGGCTCCTCACTGCTCATGAAACCCACAGACTGCTCTGTCTCTGCCCCGTCCTCTTTTCCAGGCTTTATTTTAGGGAAGATGGTATTCTTTTCCCCTCGTCCTCAGAGCCTCCCTCTCTCCTCACGCCCACCACAACACTCAGCAGAGTCTTCTCAAGGGACTCAAGCTTTGGAAACAAACAACAGGAAGGGAAATCCGGCAACCCATTACTGCTTTCTGCCCTGCCACGAACATTCCCCGAGGACAGGAAACCCAGAGCCTGCTCCCTGCTGGAATGAAAGAAGAGAGAAGAAAGGGACAAAAGCCCTAGGGAACAAACACATGAATTAATAGTTGAATGAATTGTCCTGCTGGGACAGGCCAGCCTTGAGCCAGCCAGCCTCAGGAAGCCAGGTGGGGGAGGCATGGAACAGGGGACCCCCCCAAAGTGGTGGTTGACATGAAGGTTCTGAAATGTGGGGAAATCCAGTGTTTGCCTCATGATGATCTCACAGAAAAAACAAGGTGGCTCAAGTGATCCTCCTTCCTCAGCCTCCTGAGTAGCTGGGACTACAGGCGTGTGCCACCATGCCTGGCTGATTTTTTTTTCTTTTTAAGACAGAGTCTCACTCTGTTGCCGAGGCTGGAGTACAGTGGCACGATCTTGGCTCACTGCAACCTCTGCCTCCCAGGTTCAAGCCATCCTCCGGCCTCAACCCTGCTAGGAGCTAGGATTACAGGCACGTGCCAACCATGCCAGGATAATTTTTTTTTTAGAGGGAGTCTTGCTCTGTCACCCAGGCTGGAGTGCAGTGGCATAATCTCAGCTCACTCCTCCACCTCTTGAGTTCAAACGATTCTCATGCCTCAGCCTCCCGAGTAGCTGGAATTACAGGTGCCTGCCACCATGCCTGGATAATTTTTGTATTTTTAGTAGAGGCAGGGTTTCATCATGTTGGCCAGTCTGGTCTAAAACTCCTGACCTCAGGTGATTTGCTCGCCTCAGTGTCCCAATGTGCTGGGATTACAGGCATGAGCCACGGTGCTTGGCCAATTTTTGTATTTTTAACAGAGGCGGGGTTTTGCCATGTTGATCAGGCTGGTCTCGAACTCCTGACCTCAGGTGATCTGCCCGCCTCGGCCTCCCAAAGTGCTGGGATTACAGGCATGAGCCACGGTGCTTGGTGGATTTTTTTTTTTTTTTTTTTTTTTTGAGACGGAGTTTTGCTCTCTTTTGCCCAGGCTGGAGTGCAATGGCGCGATCTCTGCTCACCGCAACCTCCTCCTCCTGGGTTCAAGCAATTCTCTGCCTCAGCCTCCTGAGTAACTGGGATTACAGGCATGCGCCACCATGCCCAGCTATTTTTTTTATTTTTAGTAGAGATGGAGTTTCTCCATGTTGGTCAGGCTGGTCTCGAACTCCCGACCTCAGGTGATCCGCCCACCTCAGCTTCTCAAAGTCCTGGGATTACAGGTGTGAGCCACCATGCCCAGCTTTTTTCTTTTTTAATTTTTAGTAGAGATGAGGTTTTGCCATGTTGCCCAGGTTGGTCTTGAACTCCTGGGCTCAAATGATCCACCCACCTCAGGCTCCCAAAGTGCTGGAACTACAGGCATGAACCATCGCACTCAGCCTGGCCATAAGTCCTCTTCCAGGGAATTTTTTGCTTCTAATTCTGGCCTCAGCCTACATAGAAAAATGTAACTAAATTAGACTCCACTTGCTCGCTTGTATTCAAATGACCCTGTGCCCATAGCAACTTCTCCAAGATTTAGTTTCCTCATCTGAAAAATGTGCACAGTAATAGTACCTGCCTCACACAGTTTCGTGTTAGAGAAATGTAGGTAGAACACTCTGGGCACTTGGCCTTGGTTGCCCGCTTCCTTCAGGGTGTACCAGTGAAGTGCTCAGTCTTGGGAGCCAAGCTGTCTGGGTTCAAATCCCAGCTGCACCACTGTGTGGCTTGAAACAAGTTATTTTCTCCCTGTGTCTCTGTTTTATCACCTGACAGAAAGGGATTATTGTGGTGTCTACTCCATTTTTTTAAAATGATTTTTGACTCTTATTTCCTTCTCCAAGTTGTTGGTATAGACGTATCTACTTCAGGAGGTTGTGAGGTTTCAGTAAGTTATACATTAGTCATTAGAAGAGTGCCCAGCATACAGTAAGTCCTTAGTAGGCATTACCGTTATTTATCATTATTTCCTTTCTTCTTTCTGACAGTCAGAAGATAGTGATTGTGTCCCCTCCCCCAACATGCACAATATTCTCTTCCTTCCTTTTTCAAGAGTTGTACATAGGCTGTCCCCACCCAGGTGGAGGGATACACTCCAGGATGTCCATGGGCATCTTCATAGCTTGGACCCAAAGCTGATCCTGTCCTCTGGGTGTGGCCTGATTCATCCAAGAGGACCAGTGACAGTGGGAGTGAGGATTGATTGGACTGGTGTGTTGGTGTTTTGAGTAACATTGGTGGTGATGATGGCAACGGCAATGGAGATGAGGTTGGTGATATTGATCCTGGTGAAGACAGCGGTAGTGGTGGTGATGTCAGAGGCAGTGATAATGACATTGGTGATTCCGATCGTCATCATGGTGGTGGTGATTCTGAAGGTTCGAGTGACAGTGATAATGATGACGGTACTGCTGGTCGTGAACATGACAGAGGCGACAATAACAATCCTCATATCGTGATGCTAATGTCATGACTAAATTTGTCACTTAGTCTCAGTGATATGGGCCATGTGAGTGAGGGTGATATTTAATGTGATGGGGTAGAAATGATGACGATTATGGTGGTGATTTTCATGAAAATGTTGGTGATTATTATGATGTTAATAACGGTCATGACAACTAACCCACATGGACACTGGCAATTGTGGTGACAAAGCTTAACCACAAGAATTTTATTCACTCTTTCAAAACCATTCGTGGGGTACCTATAGGGCCAAGAACAAGTGGAACACTGTAGGCCTCAGTTGCTTCTGATGAGATGACAGGGCCCTCACCCTCTCCTTTCCAAGACCTCTCCTCCCCAGCCCACACCCATCTCTGAGTGGGATCACTGGCCTCCAATGGACTGTCCTTGCTTTGGTGTCTCCTTTAGGGCAAGGACTCTCCCACTGAGCAGAGCCCTGGGGAGGCCACGAAGAAGCAGCATGGCCCAGTCCAGATTGCACCGAACCTGACTGTGATCCAGTTCATCAAAGGTAAGTCAGCTCAGACCAGGATATGGGGGGCCAGGGCCAGAGCGGCCCTCAAGGCTATGCAGGATCCAGTCCTTCCTGCCTTTTTTGATTCATCTTCTCCACCTGCAGACCCCTCATGAGCACCATCTACTCCATGTGAGTCTTTGCACATGTGATTCTCTCTGCCTGGACCATCATTTTTTGCTGCTGTCAAAACCTTCCCTATGGGCCAGGCGTGGTGACTCACACCTGTAATCCCAGCACTTTGGGAGGCCAGATCACTTGAGGTCAGGAGTTTGAGACGAGACTGGCCAACATGGTTAAACCCCATCTCTACTAAAAATACAAACATTAGCCAGGCATGGTGGTGGGCGCCTGTAGTCCCAGCTACTTGGGAGGCTGAGGCAGAAGAATCACTTGAACCTGGGAGACAGAGTTTGCAGTGAGCTGAGGTGGTGCCACTGCACTCCAGCCTGGCAACAGAGCGAGACTCCGTCTCAAACAAAACAAAACAAACAAACAACAACAACGAAAACCTTCCCTATCCCTCTAGGACCGGCTCAAAAGCCACTACTTTCTCTACATGTCCAGCTCTCCTACCCAGCAAGGCTGTTTCTCTCCCTCTTTGGCTCTCAGAACCCTCAGGCGTTCTAAATCAGATCTGAGCTGTGCTCCTGAAAGTCAGGCCCTTGCTGGCTCATCTATGACCCTTCCTCTCCTCCCACCCGCCACTGAGCCTGCAAATGGGAGACCATCAGGAAACTGTCAAAGGCAGTGTGGCATGGGCGGAGAGCGCTCTGGGCTAAAATCCAGAACTTGGGCTTTTGTCCTTGATCCCATTCTTTTCTGGGCCTCCGTTTCCCCATCTACAGAGTGAGGAGTAGACTCAGTGACCTAAGGTCTGTGAGGCCATGATCCTGAGACTATGAACTCAGTCTTTCAGTAACCAGAGTACACATTACGACCAGGCCATTCTTTCTCAAGATTATGATCCCATAAGTATTGATTGAGTGCCAACCGTGTGCTCAGCTCTTACAGAGCCCTGGAGGGCATATCAGAGGACTTGGATTTGAGTCCTGCCCCTAACAGTGACCAGCGTACAATCTTAAAGAAGTTAGTTTCCTTTTCTAAATTGAATTTCCTCATCTGGAAGATTGGATCAATAATCCTTGCTCTGCCTCTCTCAAGGGCTATTATGAGCATCAAATGAGATGAAGAATGGAAAGCCTCTTTATGCTATTAAAAAAAACTGTGCTCATATATAAGGTACAATTATTTCAGTTATTGCTCTTGGTCTACTGTTGTTCTGACCATGCTCTAGGATAGTAAACTGAGGTGCCTGTGGTTTAGGAGGGTAATATCCATAGGGGTTGCTTCATTCCTTACTGAGGATTTCTGCAGCAGGAAGGAATTAAGCTGTTCTTGGGAAGAGATTCCTAAGATTTGATGTTGGGGCAGGACATGGTGGCTCACACCTGTAATCCCAACACTGTGGGAGACCAAGGCAGGAGGACCTCTTGAGCCCAGGAGTTTGAGACCAACCTGGATAACATAGGGAGACCCTGCCTCTTCAAAAAAAAAAAAATTAAAGAATTAGCGGTGTTGGTGGTGCACACCTGTGGTCCCAGCTACTGGGGAGGCTGAGGTGGGAGGACTGCTTGAGCCTGGGAGTTTGAAGCTGCAATGAGCTCTGATCTCACCACTGTGCTCCAGTCTGGGTGACTGAAAGAAACCCTTTCTGAAATTAAAAAAAAAGAAAGACTTGGTATTGGGATATTAGTAATCTAGCCCCCAGTTTTCTTTGTATGGGGCTGGGCCCAGAGGCAGGGGCTGGGCCCAGAGGCAGGGGCTGGGACTCCCTAGCCTCAGGCCACCCCCAGATGCTATTAGGCCCCCTGAGCTGCTGAATTGCTTATTCATCACTGTTTTGGCTTCTGCCAGGAGGGAAGCTGGGGCCAGTTGCTGAAATTGGAACCTAGAGTGAGTGTTCTAGGCCAGATTGTCTCTGGTGATTTCAGCTTCTACATGATCTGGGAGGCCCTGTGGCCAGTGAGCCAAGCTGGCTTCTGCTGAGCTCCAGGGGCCAGTCTGACTGTAGGGCCTGGTCTTGACCACCTGGGACCATGGCGAAGGCCAAGGGAGGAAGAAGCATAGTCCTTCAGATGGAGGAGCCCTACACTCTTGGGGAAAGATAATCCCTGAGTTAGGAAAGGCCCCTGTCAGATGGGGGAGACATAGTCTCTGAGCTGGGGGAAGTCCCTATCAAATGGGAGAGATATAGTCTCTCTGATGGAGGATATATAGTCCTGAATGGAGCGAGACCCTGCCTTGTCTGATGGAAGAGACCTGATGGAGAAGGCCCCTATCTGATGATGGAGACATAATCCTTGAACTAGAGGAGGTTCCTGTCTAATGGGGGAGACATTGCCCTTGAGTTAAGGGAAGCCCCTAACTAACTGAAAGAAGCATAGTCCCTAGACTGAGGGAGAACCTGTCCTATTTGAGAGAGGGTGCCTGACCTCTAGCTGGGCGAGGCTCCTGGCTGATGAGGAAGACAGTCACTGACCTGAGGGGGGCCCTGGCTCGTCTGCTGGGGGAGACACTGTGCTATGCTAAGGGAACCCGTCTCCTGGGAAACATCTGCCTCAGAGCTGGAGATGGGCCCTGGAATTCCCCTGCAGGTAGCCCTATCGAAGTGAAAGGCATAGCCTCTGCCCTCCAGGAATTTTCCATCTATTCCGGAGCCAGGCTGTGGATGCTGAGGAGAGATGGGGGATGGGTATAAAACACACTGCAGTGATCGGTGCAGGAGAATGGGCTGGAAGCAATCCATGAGATGGGGCCCTCTGGAGTCAGGCAGCCAGAGAGGCACAGGAATGGGGGAGGATGGACCTTGTTCTAGGAGTCTGGAGACCCCAGGAAACTCCTGGCCTTACACTGGCCTCTCTGGATGAACTTGGGTGAGTCCCTGCCCATCTCTGGACTCTACCATCAGTAAGAGCACCTGTACAACCTGGGCCATGCCAGATTGAAATTCATGGCTCAATACAGGACCTCAGATGCCCTGGAGAGAAGCTCATGGCAAGAAGGCTAAGCAGCTACCTGGGGTCAGGGTGAGCCTTGCAGCGCCTCACTCAGGCTGGTTGAATGCATAGTATGCAGCAAGGAACCAGGGACCAGGAGGCAGGCCTGGCATATAAAAGAGGGGGAATTCCACAGCCCCCACCCACCCTGCCTGAACTGTTTGTCTTTATTTTCTGGCTTCCAAGGAAACAGATCCTAGCCTGGCCCAGGGGGCTAGGGAAGCAGCTGGTTTGGCCATGCTCTGAGGACAGACAGAAATCTTCCCATGACAGATGCCCTGGTCCTGCTGCTGCAGGAGCAGAAGGAACCCCCCACCTGGCCCAGAGAACCCGCACGGCCCCACCAGCCTGGCCTGGGAAGTGGTTTGCTCCTTGTCCTCCATAACTGATATTTGACTTCAGTCCTGCCTATTAGCAGAAACACGTGTTAGTGGAAATAGGATTTCACGTGTCAGAACAGAAAGTGCCCTTGACACTTTCACCTGGGCTGCACCTACCAATGGGCATCACCTGGCTGCTGGAGCCCAGAGAGGAAAGGACTTACCTACCCTTTCGTGCCCTTCAATTTAGCAGACTTGCAATGGCGGCAACCTATGAATGAGGCACTATTTTAGGAGCTAGCAGGAGACTGGGGATGTCATTATTGCCAGAACAGTCACTTTTTTCCTTTCTCCAAGCATTTGCCCCTCCTGTGCCCCTACTCAATTCCTTTTCGTCCTCACTTCACCTCACCAGATCCCCCCATTCTTTAGGCCCTAGCTCTGTCCCACCTCCAGGAAGCCTCCCAGCACCAAGCTTGAGGGAGGTCTTTGATTTGTATCAAATCTCTGGAGGTCTTTGATTCTGCCCCAGACATACTAACAATTTAATCACATATTAGTCCATATGTCCATTCATTACTTCCTTCATTCCACGAATTCATGAATTCAAGTGCCTCCTATGTCCCAGGCTCTGGAGATTCAACAATGAACACAACAAACAAAACCCCCGATCTTTTAAAGGCAGTTTACATTCTAGTAGGGTGACAATAAAACAGCTAGATGAGTGAAAGGTATAGTACATTGGGTGGAGGGCTGTGGAGAAACACAAGCTAGGGATGGGGAGATCAGGGCAGGGGATTGGGGCCTGTGTTGGGATGCAGGAGAGGATGAAGGCCTGGGTGCCTCGGAAAAAGCTGTAGCAGGACAGGATGGAACGAGCTGGGCTGGACGGGGGAGAGGAATGAATACGTAGAATAGAAAAAATGAAATGACATGGGATGGAATGGATGAAATAGAATCAAATGGGATGGCATGGACCCAAACTATACGGAATGAAATAGAATTGAATGGAAAAAAACACACACAGAGCATAAGATACAGTCTAACTCAATGGAACAGATTGAAACAGAATTTCAAAAATAAACTAGAATAAGGGCCAGGTGCCGTAGCTCACATCTGTAATCCCAGCATTTTGGGGGGCCAAGGTGGGATGATCGCTTGAGGCCTAGGGTTCAAGATCAGCTTGGCCAACATGGCAACACCCATCTCTAATAAAACCCATCTCTTCTAAAAAAACAAAAATTAGCCAGGCATGGTGGTGCATGCCTGTAGTCCCAGCTTCTCAGCAGGCTGAGGCACAGGAATTGCTTGAATCCAGGAGACGGCGGTTGTAACGAGCTGAGATTGCACCACTGCACTCCAGCCTGGGCAACAGAGTGACATTCTGTCTCCAAAACAAACAAACAAACAAACAAACAAAACAGAAAAGAAAAAAGAAAAAGAAAAAGGACTAGAATAAATGGAATGGAGTCAAGTGGGATAAAATTGATTGCAATAGAATTCAGAGCAATGGGACGGGTTGGAAGGAATGGAACCACTTGAACCGAGCAGGGCAGGAGGGCAGTCTCCGCTGGACAGCTCGGCTGCCCTGCCTGCTCTTACCTCCTCTGTACTCACCCCCACAGTCTTCCCCAAGGTGCTGCTGCAGACCCTACGCCACCCCACCTTCCTGCTGGTGGTCCTGTCCCAAGTCTGCTTGTCATCTATGGCTGCGGGCATGGGCACCTTCCTGCCTAAGTTCCTGGAGCGCCAGTTTTTTATCACAGCCTCATACGCCAACCTGCTCATCGGCTGCCTCTCCTTCCCTTCGATCATCGTGGGCATTGTGGTGGGTGGTGTCCTGGTCAAGCGCCTCCACCTGGGTCCCGTGGGCTGCAGTGTCCTTTGCCTGCTGGGGATGCTGCTGTGTCTCTTCTTCAGCCTGCCGCTGTTCTTCATCGGCTGCCCCAGCCACCAGATTGCAGGCATCATCCACCAGCCCGGGTGAGTGTGTGTGTGGACACATGAAGACAAGCCTGGGAGGGTGGGACAGGGAAGAAGGGGGCCCTAGGCAGAGGCCAGGCCAGAGGGGTGCTCCCCGCCTCCAATCTCACCCCCCCACCTCTACTTAACAGCCTTTTAGAGATTCCAGTCAAACAGTGGGGTGCTCCAGAAGGCTCTAGGGAAGGTGTCAGGCACCACTGGAAGGGGTATTCATGGGACTTTAGGGGCAGAAACTCTCAAGCCCGGGGAGGCGTGGAGGCTGAGACAGGGTAGAATCCATGGGAAGGCATCTCCAGAGTGACCAAGCCCTGTGGGCACAGCAGAGGTGGGGCAGAAGCCTCATTACAGGAGGCAGGACCAGCTCAGCTGGAGGAATGGCCTGCCCAGGAGGGAGCATGCTCTCCGTCCCAGGACGAGAGGGTGTGAGAGGGTGAGCAAGGGGCTGGATGGCCCCTGTCTGGGAGGCTGCACTGGGGACTCAGGCAGGGAAAAGATTGGGCTGCAGACCTCTGACATTCTGTGTTTTAGAGCTTGGGAGCTGAAATTCTGTTTCTCCATGGCTCTAAAATTACAGAGTTCTTTTTCCACATCTGCAAGGCAGCACCTGCCTCCGCCTTCCGGGGGAAGGCTCTTGATGCCTACCTGTCATTCTCCCTCACCCCTTTACCCTTGGGAGCCTTCTTGGAGAGGAGGTTGGAAGTTACGTTCCTGCCTCTTCTCCAGAATGATTTCATTTTTCCTGGAACTGCTCCAGGCTTAGGTTGGCCCAAAACTCAGCTAGAATTTCCCAACTTTCTCTGTCTCCACCTCTCCTTCTTGGCATCTTCTGCCTTCATCCAGGCGCTAGCTTTCCTCACGGGGTGGGAGGGGTTGGTTCCTCCTGCATGGCTGTCAGGGGCTCAGCTCAGGGCCAGGGAGCACCCAGCCCCTCCCTGTCTGTCCCAGGTCCCACCCTCGCCGGCCTCTCCCCCATCTCCCCTCCCTCTTCCTCCCCGTTTCATTCTCTGCCTCTCTTTTCCCAAAAAGGCAGGCAACTCCACTCTCTAGACTGGGGCCTCCTGTGTGCAGAGCCCTGTTCTAGGCATGGCAGCGGGGACTTTAGCCACGTCCTCAGGAAGCCCCTGATGTGAGGAGGGAGCCAGGTCCTCAATCAAATGATTTTGAGAGTAAAACGTAAATGGATATTTTGCCACAATTTTTTAAACAGTACGTGGGAGAAAAAGTCAACTCATCCCATAGGCCCATCTCTCTTTTCTTTTCCCTTTTACACCTTAGCTTTGACATCTCATGTCACCTGTGTTCTCATTGAAACTCTCGCAGTTTATTCACTAAGCTCTGGGTTCTGATTCACTGAGGAGGCCATTTGGGACCAACTGAGCTAGGCAAGAAGAACTCTCCATATCCCTGCACAACCACAGGTACCAATAGCTGCAAGAAGCGAAGGTCTCCCACACGTTGAGCGTCTTCCCACATTGCGTCTCAAACCTCCATGGGATCTCTGTAATGGGTCCTGTTATTAGCCCCATTTCACAAATGAGTACAGTGAGGCTTAGAGGGGTGAAGTGACCCCCACAGCTAGAACAGAGTAGAGCCTGGGTCCAGGACTCTTTCCACAGAAGCAATCAGCTCCAGGTGGTCAATGAGAGCGAGGGGTGGAGGAAGGGCCCCCTAGCTCTCACCTGCTCAGCCTTCTAGCTGCTGGCAGAGGGTTCTAGGAAGTGCCTCTCCCTTGGCAGAGTCCCCGGCACCGCCTCCCAATGGGCCCTCAGCTCAGACAGTGCCAGCCTTCCCACTCCCACCCCCACCCCGAGGGAGATGTGCCAAGATGTTGTTAGACACACACAAGCACTGTCTGGCAGAGGAGGAAGAGGAAAGATTCTGTGGCTGATGATCTTCCTTCCCACTCAGATGGAGCACCCCCTCACCCCAGGGAGGGAGAGAAGCTCACTTTGCCCCATGCCCCACTTCCCCACCCCACACCCTGGCTAGAGACCATCTCTAGCTCTTGCTCACCCTCTTTTTCATGGAACTGAGATTTCACTAAGATCCAGTCCGAGCCTCTCCGATCAGCCTGGTCCTCTACCCCATACCTGCCCCAAGCCCAAGACAGAAACCTCTGGCTTCTGCCCCTGGCCTCCTCCGTAGCCTGGCCACCGGACTCCTGTGTGACCCTAAATGAGGCACAGCCTCTCTGGGCCTCTGTCTTCCTGGCAGTTTTGCTGTGCTCCCCTCTAGCGTGAAGCCAGGTGACACTCTTAGTCCCAGGGGCCACCTCCCTGCCCTCCTCCCAGGGTGACCTCCCTTTCAGGCTCAGCCTCCCGCCGACCTCCTGCCCCTGCCCACCTTCACCTTGCCCTGGCCACCTGGAACTGGGACACCCTGGGGATTTGGGAGCGGACCCTCAGGAATGAGGCAGGTGGGACTAAAATGTGCCCTAACACAGTGAACAGGGTGGTGGGAGTGAGACTGCAGGATGGCCGTGATAGGCAGAGAAACTGAGGCCCAGAGAGGCAGGGTACAGGTGGTCAGGTTTCCTGATCAGGTCCCACACTTATAGCTCTGATTTTCTGAGAACGGAAGCAATCATTGATTTTCAGGGAAAGGAGGCTCATTGAGGGAAAGATATTCTTCCTCTGACACTAATTCCTGGGAGGAATTTATCTTGTATACCCTGAAGAAGGGTCACTGAGGTGTAGAGATGTTTGAAGAAGCTTAAAGACTTGTAGGATCTAGGGGGCCTGTCTGCCTTCTTACACACCTTCATTGCAAGGAGCTCACTATTGTACCATTATGGGGCAGCCCTGATGGTGAAAAGCCTCTGTGTGGAGCTAAAATCTCTGGCCATTGCTCTTGGCTACAGGGCTGAGGAGGCCCCAGCTAGTGGTCTAAGCAGGGGAAGCCAGGCCAACCCTACAGGCCTTCTCTCCCACCAGTGCCCAGCCTGGGCTGGAGCTGTTTCCAGGCTGCATGGAGTCCTGCTCCTGCCAATCGGACGGCTTTAACCCTGTCTGCGACCCCAGCGCTCATGTGGAATATATCACACCCTGCCACGCAGGCTGCTCAAGCCGGGTGGTCCAGGACGCTCTGGACAAAAGCCAGGTGAGTCAGGCCTGAGTGGCAATCGCTGCCCCTCAGCGCTCTGTCTGCCCTGTCTCTGCGGGCCTGCCCTACTCTCCACCTCGGCATGCTGTCACTTTCTTCTCGCTTCTCTCTGTCTCTCTCTATTGGCAGATGTAGAACATTATTCTCTCAATAAGCTTTCATTGGCTGGGTATGGTGGCCCACGTTTGTAATCCCAGCACTTTGGGAGGCTGAGGCAGGTGAAAGACTTGAGGTCAGGAGTTCCAGACCAGCCTGACCAATATGGTGAGACCCTATCTCTACTAAAAATAAAAAAAATTAGCCAGGCATGGTGGTCCATGCCTGCAATCCCAGCTAATCAGGAGGCTGAAGCAGGAGAATCACTTGAACCTGGGAGACAGAGGTTGCAGTGAGCCGAGATCGTGCCATGGCACTCCAACCTGGGCAACAAAGCGAAACCCCATCTCAAAAAATAAAAAAAAAAGCTTTCATTGCCAGCCTGGGCCCAGGGCACAGAGGTGATCCATTCTGACTTCCAGATCTCTGAGCCGGGGAGATGCAAAAGGAAGAACTCCCAGGAATTCCAGACGGGCTGATAGGCCAGACAACTGGTCCCTACAACTACATACAAAGCCGGAAAGACACATCCCACCTGGGCAAGGGTGGGTCCCAGAAGCCTTCATGGAAGTAGCATTTGCGCCAGACCTTCAAGAATGAATGGGGAAACTAGAGCTTGGGAGGGAAGGGCTTTCAGGCAGGGGGAATGGCATAAGCGGAGGTCTGGAGGAACACATGTGCACTTGCAAGCATGCACAGTGTTTCTGTTGGAGCAGAGGCATAAGGATTCATGAAGGGAAGGTAGGGCCCAAAGAGGGGTCTTGAATGCCAGGCCAAGAGTGGGGACTTTCTGGAGAGCAGTGGGGAGCCATGGATGGGTTTTCAGCAAGGGAGTAACAAGGTCAGATCTGTGTTTAATCACACTTGAGGCCATAATGTGGGGCAGGTGAGCAGAGTACAGGATAGGACACAGAAGGCCGGTGAGCATTCGGTCAGTCAGTCAGTCAGTCAGTCAACAAACTTTCACCCATCTCTTCCTATGTGCCAGGCCCTGTGCTGGGAGCTGATGACTCAGAGCCAGGGGGCCCAGTGGGGAAATGAGGGCAGTATAATCAGTAGCAGTGCATTCTGAATCTCAGGAAGGTGAAGACCAGCTGGTTCCTCCTCCCCTTTTTCCTCAGTCCCCCAAAATGACAAAAGGGGACAATGTCTGCCTTCTCAGCCCTCCAAGGCTGTAGCCAACCTGGGGGACAGGGAGGGAGACAGCAGCATCAGGCTGGTTGTTATGACAACATCTCCCTCTCTCCAGAGTCCTCCCACCTCTCACTTTCCTGCGGGGCATCAGCATCTAAGCCCGAGGCTCCTCCAGGGAGAGACCTGGGCTGCATCAGCTGGTGCAGAAGAACCTGTTGATGGTAGGAATCCTTCAGAAGCCAGCCAGACACCACCTGGGCCTGAGAGCCCTTCCAGAGGCCCTCAGACCTTGGCAGGTGGAACAGTGAACTCCTGCGGATATGGGTCCCGGTTCAAACCTCTGTTCTGCCTCTAACTGACTGTTACCTTAGGCAAATTATTTAACAAGTGCCTCAGTTTCTTGGTATGTAAAATAGGGGTGATATTATTGATTGCCTACTACAGAGCAGGCAATGTGCTGAATAAATGCTTTACATGGATGAATTCATTAAATAGTAAGAGAAGGGCCACATGACGTTATCCGTGAAAGCACACAGCACAGTGCCTAGGAAATTTTAAACACTCAGTAATACGCATTCCTACTACGCCCATTGTACAGATGAGAAATGGAGGTCCAGGAAAGGACCAGGCATTGCCCAGAATCTCAATACCAGGGCTGGGACTAGACAGCAAGGCCTGGCCTCCCAGCCAGCCCCCTTTTTGGAGCTTCATGGAGACTTGGATTTAGGTGCAGTATTTGGAGGAGGGTGTAGCTGAGGCCAGGCCAGCACTCAGGAACTGTCATCACGCTGGCCTGGAATTGTGTCTTGACATGTTTGCCTCCTTGGATTGTGAGCAGCTTGGCTCAGGGATGGGTGGCTCAGCGCCCAGCACAGCTTCTTGGTAACAGCTTATGAGTGTGAGAGCAAATGAGGTGAGATGGGGCAGGTGGACGACTGCACAGGCATGTGGCTGAATGCTCTGGGTTCCGGAACGAGGCTCCAAGGCAGCAAAGGGATTGAAGTCATTCATAAGAAAAACTTCCTGCCATAGAATTAGATGAATGTGACTGAAGGGTCAGGAAAAACCCAAGTGAAGTCTCCAGCCTTTGTGTTCATCCCAGCAACCCTCTGCTTCTGAGAAAAGGAGCAGGGGCAGGATGTCTCCCTTCCTGGAAGCTTGCCTTAGCATTTCTCCATTTCTTGTCCCTCCACTGTATCTCCAGCCTGTAGGTGGAGGTTCAAGGGCCACTTTTCCTGTGGTGTAAGATGATACACACTTAGGGGTCATGCACAAGTGTCAGCACAGCCTCATCCTGCACACTGGTTCTGCCGGCCGTTGGAGACCATCTGGTCACCCAAGCCTAAGTGCTCACGTGCTCTCTTTCTCCTGCCTTTCTCTGATTCCACCTGCTAAGTAACTTCAAATCCAAATCCTTTTACCCATTCACCCACAAGCCCACTCTCTGTGATGGGCCCCTTAGCCTTCCTCCCCCATCTGGTCCCTCCTCCGTGCAGCCCCAGAACAGACTTTGTACATCCAGTCTCACCTCTCCCTTGCTTAAAACTCTCCCCAGGCCCCCAGCATCCACCTCAGGGCTTCCCAACCCTTTTCACACTAGGAAGTGTCTGCAGCTGCCAGGGCTGGAGGTGAGCGGCGCAGAGGGCTCCAGCTGCCCAGGCGAGCCAGCCACCTCCAGAGCTGATGGGACCAATCCCTGCACACCTGTCTCCCATCTGAAGCCCTGCATGGCTGGGGCATGAGTCTAGAAGCTCTGATCTATGGGAAAGTAAAGAAAAGCTCAGGCTTCATGGCTTGGCCTGGCTTCTATCGGGTGCCTGTGGGCCCTGGCAGTCCAGATTACTTCTCAGAGTCCTTGGCTGGAGGTTTTCCTGGCTACCTAGGGAGATAGTGCAGGCTGGGATCAGACTCTCCAGGGGGCCAGCCCAGGGGCATGGCCAGCCTGAGGATGTTTTCTTGCAGTTGGTGTGTAGAGTGTGGAGAATGATGCTCTTCTGGGTCCCTCCCTGTTCTTCTCTACTTCCTGCTTCCCTCTCCCTGCCCATCGCCTCAGCCCAGGCTCAGCACGACTTGCGCATAGACAGCCCTTGAGGTGCCTGCTCCTCAAGCTGGCCCTGCTCAGCAACGAGTCAGGATCTCGGGCTCCAGCCGGCTCTACCCCAGCTGTCTGTGGGTCTTGGGCCTTTCACAAGCCTTCCCTGCTGCAAGCCCTTAGCCAGCTGCCTGCCCTTGGAGGCTCTTGAAGTCTCTTCCCCCTCTTCCCGTTCCAGGTTTTCTACACCAACTGCAGCTGCGTGGCGGGGGGCAACCCTGTGCTGGCGGGATCCTGCGACTCAACCTGCAGCCACCTGGTGGTGCCCTTCCTGCTCCTGGTCAGCCTGGGCTCGGCCCTGGCCTGTTTGACCCACACACCCTCTTTCCTGCTCATCCTGAGGTGAGGCCAGGGGCAGATGGATACCAAGAGGTCCTTAACCACAGGCAGGACAAGGAATTCCAAGGGGGAGTTCAAGGAAGGAGGCCACTTAGGTGTCCTGGCCCCCATGACATGGCCTTAACTGGATTCATTCTGCGGCAACCCACTGAGGCAAGGTTTTCTCCCCATCTTGCAGCTAAGAAAACTGAGGTTCAGAGAAGTTCAGGAGCCAGCCTCTGTCACATAGCAAGTGTTGGGTGGAATAGTACTGGTTCCCTGGCCCAGAGCCCAGGTTCCTACTTGCCCAGGGGAGAGGAGGACACACCTCGGGCCCTGTCCTGGCCTCCGGAGGTGGGGGCATCATACCTGCAATGGATGAGCTGCAGGAGGTGCGTCTCGGAAACCAACTATGCCAGTCTGGTGCATGACTCTGAATGCTGCTTCAAGGCTACAAGTGCTTATTAGGTGCCCACTGTGGACCCAGCCCATGCTGAGCACTGCCTTTTGGGCCAAGATCTTTGGGGCCCTCATCCTAAGGGTGCCCACTGGCCCTGAAAAATTGTCACCTGAGTTCAAAGTCAGGGTCTCCTAAGGTGGGGGCTGGGATAAGAGGACTGAGTAAGAAAAAAACAGTTTTTCTTTCTTTTTTCGAAATGGAGTTTTGCTCTGTCACCCAGGCTGGAGCGCAATGGCATAATCTTGGCCTACTGCAACCTCCTCCTTCTGGGTTCAGCGTTTCTCCTGCCTCAGCCTCTCTAATAGCTGGGATCACAGGTACCCACTATCACGCCCAGCTAATTGTATTTTTAGTAGAAATGGGGTATAACCATGTTGGCCAGGCTGGTCTCGAACTCCTGACCTCAGTAATCCACCCACCTCAGCCTCCCAAAGTACTGGGATTACAGGCATGAGCCACCGTGCCTGGCTAGGTAGAACAGTTTTTCTATTTCTGACAATCAATAATCAACACAGAAGAATTCTGTGACCAGAAGTGTGAGGGTATTTTCCCACACACCAAGCATGTGATCAATTGTGCAGGGGACCCCAGCCAGTGTCCTCCAATTCTACTCTGACACGATCTACCTGGAGACAGCATCAGATTCCACAAGCTGAGCGCTCAGTTCCACAAGATTGTCCTTCCTCTCCCCATGCCAACCACAAGCCCCAGGTTGTTTTCCAGTGCTTCTGACCCACCCCATACACTGGGATTTCCACAGCCCCATCTTTGAGTTTGCTTTATTTGCTAGAGTGGCTCACAGAGCTCAGGAAAACATCTGCTTAATGTTTATCAGTTTATATAAAAGATATTACAAACAATACAGATGAAGTGATGCACAGGGCGAGGTATGGGGGAGGAGCTTTCATGCCCTCCCTGGCTGCACCCTGCAGGAACCTCCATGTGTTCAGCTATCTGGAAGCTCTCCAAAGCTTCATTATATGGACATGATTGATTACATCACTGGACATCAGCATCACCTTAACCTTCAGCCCCTCCCCCTTTCCTGGAGGTTGGGGCTGAAAGTCCCAATCCTCTAATCCTGCCTTGGTCCCTCTGGTGACCAAGCCCCAACCTGAAGCTACCTAGGGGCTGTCCGCCATCAGTCGACACATTAGCAGACAAAAAGACACTTCCTGCTTTGAAGTCTCCAAGAATTTTAGGAGTGTATGCCAGAGACCAAATACATATCTCACAATATCACAGGGACCTCAGAGCAAGATAATTTCCATTTTCCTTCTCCTGGGATTATTTTATTCACTATCTACTTTCTAGGAAATTAGAAGGGAAATGGAGCCCCTCGCAAATACCAGAAGACGTGTAGATCTACAACACGAGCTGGCCTGGGAGGGAAAGTAGAGGAATCAGATGCCCAACAGGCAGCCTGGCTAAAAGGAGTTGAGAACACAGGCTCTGGGCTGTGTGGATGCTGGCCCTGACCCCGTCAGCCATGGGATCTTGGCCAAGTTATTAATCTGTCTAAGTGTCAGTCTCCTTATCTGTAAAATGGGGCTAATGTATACCTAGCTCATAGGATTGATGTGGGGTTGCAGGGCAGAATTACTGAGCCTGTAGTAAGCACTCCATAAATGCCAGCCACTGGTGTGATCTGGTAGGAGCCAGAGGATTGCAGGCTGTGGCGTTAGAGTGGTTGGGGATGCTGGGGAAGTGTCTGGCTGTCCAGGCTCCAGGTCTTGCCAACTGTAGGAGCAAGGGGAGAATTTGATGGGACCAGTGAGTGGAGAAAGAGGAGTGATGTCTGTGACCAGAAACATACCGAGGTCAGCACAGGACCCTGATGGTTAGTGGGTGTATTGTCTTGCACATGGGACCAGGCTCCACAGGTTGAAAAGGGATGACGTACGGCCCTGAGCCCCCCAGGCTGGATCTTCAGATGGGAGGGAGGCTGGCGCTGGGTGGTGGGAGAGAAGGGCAGGATGAGACCCCTTCAACGTTGATGCATGGCCCTTGGGGGTGGAACCCTCCAACCTCATGTTGCCCATGTCTCTGCTTGTTAGGGGAGTGAAGAAAGAAGACAAGGCTTTGGCCGTGGGCATCCAGTTCATGTTCCTGAGAATTTTGGGTAAAGATCTTGCTTGGGACCATTGGTGGTAGTGATGGGGTCCAGAGGCCCACTGTGTGCCAGGCCTGGGGCACAGGCATAAGCAGAACTCAATCCCTGATCTAAGGGCTCATAAACCCAGGGGTGACAGACCTGGCCCAGCTCTCCTAGAGCAGGGTGTGCAGGCAGAAGCTAGCCAGCCCGTCAGGAAGCCACCTCAGATGCAGGGGTGGGGCAGGCTTCAGGGCCAGAGAGCCAAGAGATCCCAGTAACCCAGAGCCCCTGAGGGGTTGTACATGCCAGGGAGGGGGTAGGGCAGGACGGTTGACCTTCGTTGCCCCTGAGCACTGCCTCCCTCAGCCTGGATGCCCAGCCCCGTGATTCATGGCAGTGCCATCGACACCACCTGCGTGCACTGGTCCCTGAGCTGTGGGCATCGAGCTGTCTGTCGCTACTACAATAATGACCTGCTCCGAAACCGGTGAGACCTGGGGTGGCGGCTGTGGGAAGGGTGCTTGAAATACTCTCAGAGTCCCAGGCAGGATACCAGCAGGGAGGGGAGATTTCATTTGAGTCTACCTGCTAGCTGACATGTACTATTATACATTCAGTGCTGAGCTCACCAGTCCTTCAGGCTAGACACTGCCTTCCCCTTTTGTAGGTGAGGCAAGTAACAGTGAAAGCGAGTAGCTCAGGGTCACACAGCTAATAACTGGCAGAGCTGGGCCTTGACCACAGAGTCTACGCAGGAACGTGGCGAGAAACAGAGGAGCAGCCATGATGTGAGAGGGACTTGGGTTGACAGGCTGGGGAGAAAGGCCTGTCTAGGACACAGGAAGCCTGTGTTTCAGGCCCAGCTCTGTCTCCCTCATCATGGGACTTATCTTCCCTGGGGCTCAGTCTTCCCACCTGTGCAATGGGAAACTCAAAGGAACTTCCCATCTGTGCAATGGGGAACTCTGTACAGAGGCGGCTGGCCTGGGATGGATGTGGAGAGGTCTTGCTACCAGGGCTGGGGGCAGGGAGCTGGTCACTTTCAGTTCTGAGGGGGTGAGGAGAGCATAGTTCCTGTGGGCTGGAACTGTCCACAGTGGGGGCAGGGAGGGGGTGCTTCCTAGAAGAGGAAAAGTCAAACAAGGGTCTTGATAGTTAAACAGGGGAGAGGGGATCCTTCTGTTCTTGTGGCAGGTGGGGCAATACAAAATTGTACTTGTCAGGCCCCCTAAACCCTTAGACAGGTTCGGAGAGAGGCAGGGCCAGCCCAGGCCACATAGCAGAGTCCAGGACAGGACGATGAAGATGCCCAGGCCTCTGCTCCCACCCAGGGCTCCTTGGCAGAGCCCCTCCCCCTCCTCCAGGGAAGAGCCCCAGCAGAGGTCACTGTCTCCCTGAGGCCTCAATGTCTCTGATTCCACAATAAGGCATGGCTGCTGACGTCCATGCCCTGGCCTGGCAGCTCTTGAGTTCAAGGGTCCCTATTCTTTCCCCAGGTTCATCGGCCTCCAGTTCTTCTACAAAACAGGTTCCATGATCTGCTTTGCCTTAGTTTTGGCTGTCCTGAGGCAGCAGACCAAGGAGGCAAGGACCAAGGAGAGTAGATCCAGCCCTGGCCTGGAGCAGCAATTGCTAGTGTCAGAGCCAGGGAAGAAGTCGGAGGACTCCCGGGTGTGAGCTGTCCTGGGGCCCCACCTGGCCAAGAGTGGCAGCCACAGCAGTACCTCCTCTGGGCCCTTTGCCAAAGATTGGGTGTCAAGAGCCCTATGTTCCATTCTGGCTCCTCCACTAAATTGCTGTGTGACTACGGGTAAGGCATTGATCCTCTCTGAGCCTTTGCTTGCTAGTCTGAACGTAAGAGTTGTTTGGGGTTTGCTGTGTTGGGCATCTTTGAAGCAAGAGGGTCTTCCTCTTTATTCCCCTAGTCAGCCAGGTCCAGGCTTTCTTGGGTGGAAGGACTGCATACCTTTCCCTGGGGCCTAGGATAGCGAAATGGGCTGTAGTAGGCGAGGCTGCCCTCCATGCTGGGCCCTAGCCCAGGTCTACACTCACCTGGATCACCTTCTCTGAGCCTCAGCCTCAGTGGGAATGGACTTGCCAGCCTTCAGGCTCATTCAGCTGACCATCTGTGCGGCTAGGGTACATTCACGTCTCCTTCCCAACTCCAGCAGCCTTTAAGAAGTGGCCCTTTGGCGCCCCCTGGAGGCAGAGCACTGAGCCGGACTCTGGATAGACCCCCACAGGGAGGAAGCAGCTGGCCTTAGGTGCAAACATCCAGATTTGGCAGGGCCTTCAGGGGGCCTGTGGTGGGGCCTCAGAAAGCCTTAGCTGAAGCGGGAAGACTCACTCTCCAACTAAGGAAGTTCTAGTCCTTGCCTTCGAAAAGCCACGGTTAAGGTGTGAGGCCCAGCACCTGTCTTAGGGGCTCTGGGTGGGCAAGTCTGGACCCTGGGGTAGGGAGGGAGATTCAGGCCCAAACTTGGGTATTTTCTAATTTCAGAAAAACACACTCAGTGTGCACTCACTGATCCCTACACATTGCCAAGATTTCATATATGTGACCAGGGGCCACCAAAGTCTCTGCGACTTTTGTGAATAGGATCCTAAGTTCTCTGTTTCCTCCTGGGTGCCTGGGTCTGTGTCACCTGGGGCTGCATGAATAATGTCTAGTTCTGTGACACTGTTTTTTCGGGAATGGCACCTGGTTCTCCAGATGCCTGGGCTGGCGTCATGCCCAGGACTGTAGTGCTGGGAGCAGTAAAGCTCAGCTCTTTGTAATAAGTGATGCTATGGCTTGCTTGGATCTGATGATCCAATCCTTTTCTACATGTTTTGTTTTATGGCTAGTCGTATCTGGCCTGGTTATTTCCCTGTGGGGAGGAGAGAGTTTGCTGATCTTCTCCCAGCCCAACCTATTGTCACTATACACCCCACCTGGCTGGGACCTGCTGCTTGGGAGCAGCAGACAGGGAGCCACCAGCAGTGTGGCTTCCTGGCCCTGTGCTGGGGGCTGGGGGGAAGCTGGGGTAACATGCAGCTCTTGCCTTCTGAGAAGCTCTCAGTGCTTGGGCTTTGAGACTTTCCCAAGTGATAAAATAAAAAGGGTAAATTAGTTCCATTTGTAAAAGGGTTACTCTCATACTCCTTATGTACAGAAATCACGTGAACAGTAAAGGTTCCATAATGCATTAAAAAATAAAATAATAAAAAGGAAAGGTACAGAAGTTCCAATTCCCTTTTTATTTTGCTGGTTGGTATCTGAAAATGTTTAAAAAATATCTGATCCTGTATGTATCAATGCTAAGAATTTCAGTCTCCTCCAACAATATGAGGCTTTTAGGATATTTATATTCCTTCTTCCTCTATGAACACATAGAGCATTTTCCCAGGTTTTACAAGGGAAAAAAACATCTGGAATTATAGACACAACTTACTATTAAATTTGTTTTTGCATAATATCTCTTCTATTACAAAAATTCTTTCTTTGTAAACTGCATTAGAGGTTTGCAATGACCACATCATCTCCATTTACTTAGATTTAAGTTTTACCGGATTCATTGCTCACCATTATTGCTTGTATATTACATCTTTTCCTGTCTTTATATTCTGGTCTAATTTTTGTTTGACTGAGTGACTTCTTCTACTAATGGTTTCAAAACTGGAATAAGGTCACGAGGATTTTTGAATCCTCACCTGTTCAAATTGTCATTCACATTTTACAGAAGAGGAAACGGGCTCAGAACGCACAAGTGACTTCCCCAGGTTCACACAGAAAATAAATGATGGAGTCAAGGTTGGATGGAGACCAGGTGGGAACTGAAGGTTTTATAATTTGAGGAGCCCTCTTTAAGAAAAATATACAAAACTGTGAATATAAAATTAGGTACAAAGTACCTATATTTACCTATAATATAATGAGAAAAGAAATCAAAACAGATACATCACACAGTCCCCAAAAAATGTATAATACTTTTATTAACTGGCCTACATAACCTGTAAAACACATTTTCTCCCCTGATGATTCAAAGAGTTTTCCACAGACTGGCTTCTGGCTCCGTACATTTCAAACCTGGTTTCTCCTGTTTCTTCTCTACTGCCCATGTACTTCCTGGGCTGGGTACCACGAAACACATTTGTATCACGATATGACCTCTGCATATGGCATCTTAATATCACAATGCCAAGTGAGTTGGGCAGTGGGTAGAATTCCTAGAAGCTATTCTCTATACAGAGATGACTAGCAATAATTTATCTATACATAGAGAACCACATAGATATTAATATACCCTCTGTTTCAGAGAACCCCATAAATATATCCCAATGAACGCAAATCAAATCAGCCCCCCACTCGGCTTCCCCTTGGCCAGATCCCAGAAGTGCCAATGGCCACTCCAAGGACCTCGTATAAAGGAAAATTGAAACACAAGGGAAGTTGGAATGGAAAGAAAATAATAATCTTGATTGTGTTTAAAGTATCTTACCTTTGCCAATTTTACAAAACTATGGCAACATGAACACATCGCTGAGGCCCTCCCTGGATCTGAAGAGAGTTCTGGGTGCTCAAGCTGCATTCACATCACGGTGAGTCCATCTCTTGGTTGAGTCAAGATCTGAAGGAAGAGATGAGGTCCTTGTGCCTAAAGCCTTCCAAACTGGCCATGGTAAGGAGACTCGGGAGTTACCCAAGAGAGAAATGGGTTGGGAGCCAAGGAGTGGAGCAGATCAGGGCCAGAGGGGTTTCCAGGCCCTGTGGGGGCCCCGGGGAAGTCCTCTCCCCTAATCTAGCCTCTTGTCAATGAAGAGCCACAAGCATTTGCATCGACGAGCTTACTTTCTTACCCTGTACCATGAAGCTGGGAGAAGACATTAAGTCTCCCTGATAAGATTCTGCTGGTGTAAAGTCAGTAGAGAACAGGACTCAGACTAGAACTGACATCCTGATGCCTAGGCCTGAGGTTTCTTTTCTTGAAGACCCTGGGAATGTCTGGGATGCTAGATGCTGGGAAGTTCCAGGGCAGGCAGATGACCCATCAGGACCTGGCATCCAGGAGTCATGTCATGACTGGCATGCAGATAAGTGAGAGGGAACTCATGGGCATCCTCACCATTGCCTGAAGGTGTTGAATTTTTTCCCCTTCACATACCTTTGCTTATGCTGTTCCCTCTGACCTTGGTTACCTTCTTCATCCCCACCCTACTGCTTGTCTCTCCATCTCTTCTTCATAAAGTCCTACCCAATCTTCCAGGCCCAGCTCAAAGGCCACCAACTCCAGGAAGGTAACATGGTACAGGCAATGGCGGGGGGCGGGGGGGAAGGTGACAACAACCTCTGAGGATCTGATCAAAGACATAGACTGTCGATTAAACATAAAACACACAGACATATACACAATTGTGCATCATATTATTTCAGAGGTTGAAGACCATCTGATGCCTGGGTGTAGACCTCCTAAGAATCCCAGATCCCCAGTCAAAAGCCCTTAATGGAGTGAAAAGATTAGAGCTGTGGAGAGAGTCAGACTTGGGATCAAATCTTGACTCTGCCACTTATTACAGTGTGACTATGAACAAACGATTTAATATCTCTGCTCCTCAGTTTCCTGAGGTTGAGCATGCCTAGCTCCTGTCTCCTAGAAGCTGTGACAACCAGGTAAGAAAATGTACCTGCTCACAGGCACCACACCTGACAGTCAAAATTGTAAGCTCCCTTTCCCTTCTGTCCCTGAAAAACTTAACGCACACATAGAGCATCAGGCTGGGAGGGTGCAGTGATGACAGGGGGGGAGCACACCTCCTTTCCCTACCCTGGCCACAGCTCCATTGTCCCCTAATCTCTCCTCCACTGTCAGCCAGGGCTCAGCCAGCCCGGCCTTATCTCTCCCCACAGCCAGCTTGGGACAGCTTTTCTCAACCAGATTTACATTTTTATTGATTTTCTTTCTCCCTCCCAGAGCAGTCCCTCCCTTCTGCTTCCCCTTTGGCTATCAAATGGGCTTACCCTGGGAAATAGCAGTTCTGGGGCTGGCCAAGAAGTGATGGTTCAAGGTTGGATTCATTCACCATTCCTTCCTTCATTCATTCATTCATTCAACCACTCATGCAAGCAACATATACTGCATGTCTGCTCTGTGCCTCTCTCCTGGCACTGCTGGGGACACAGCCATGTGTCAGGTACAATCTCTACTCAGGAAACTCAGTGTAAACAGACAAGCTGACAAACAGTAACAGAAGCATGAATAGTCATACAGGAGAGGGAAGAAGAGGAAGCCAAGGACTCTTCCTGGGGCCAATAGGAAAGGCTTCCAAGATGCTATATCAGAGCTGGCCTTAGGAATTAGATGGACTTCCTCAAGTGGAGAAGGTGGGAATGGGCAGGAGAAAAAACAGGATGAGCAAAGATAGAGAGAGAGAGATGGTGACAAGAGCAATGTGGCTAGAGGGCACTGCACGTGCAGGGCAGTCAGGAGACAGAAGAGAACGGAGGCTGGGAAGACCAGCAGGGACCAGCTGTGGAGTTCCAGCTGAAGGTTTGGATGCTTTCCCGAGGGCAAGGAGGAACCCCTGAAGCATTGATTGATGGATTATTCCATTGGCTAGTTATTTTAAGCAGGGAGTGACATGACAAGATTGGTATTTTGGAAAGGCCACTGGTTGCACCATGGGGGCTTTGCGTGGAAAAGAGAAGCTGAAAGCCAAGAGCTCAGGCTGGGGCGGGTGCCACAATCAAGGGAAGTGGGAGGGCTGGAGCCAGGTCAGGAGAGGCATCCTGGAAGTGAGACATCTAAGGCGAGTCTGGAAAGGGGAGTGGGAATGCACCAAGGGGAGAAGTTGGGAAGGGTGTCAAGGCAGAAGAAACTGCACAAAGACAGTAAACAGAAAGCTCCTGGCAGGCATGGGATATTCCACTAGTTTAGCAGGGCTGCAGCATGGCCTGAGAGAGAAGACATGGGGAGGGTGAGGCTAAAGAAGTGGGTGACGCCCTCAATGCCACTCAGTGCTGTCCATCTCCTAAACCTAACCCCAGGTAAGAGGAGAGGGAGGCCTCACCTCTGTACAGAGGTGGCTGTACAGGTCTGAGCCCTAGAACAGGGTGCTCCTTAGTCCAAACAAACCTTTTCCTGTTCATTACACTTCACATTTTACAAGGTCCCTTTACAGCCAGTCCTCATGGTTTCCTGGTGAAGAAGGCAGGAAAGGGATTTTTACTGCCACATTGTAGGTAAAGAAACTGAGGCCCATGAAAGTGCAGAAACTTGCCCAAGGTCACTGAAGAGCCCAGGTATCCCCCTCCTAAGACTCCCATGTTGTTGCTAATAAACCTATTTGTCCCTGAGTCACATATACACAATAGGTGTAGTAGGGGCTGATTAATATGGTTGGGATGAAAAAAGAGGGGAGAGAAAGCACGTCAGAGAAAGAGGCTTCCTTTTTCCTCAACCTTCATCCTGCAACTGTGGACATTCCAGCTGGGGAAACAGAACCCAGGTCCCTCTGCTTTGGAATTCAATAGACAGGAGGGACAATCCCAGCTCTGCCACTTACCAGGCATGGGAAGTCTATGCACTCATCTGAGCCTTGGTTTTCTCATCTGCAAAAGGGAAAAATAAGCTTCGACCCATCAGAAACATTGAAAGGATTTAATGTGATAAAGTAGCAATATAGTAATCTACTGCTGAGTAACAAATTTCCTGGCTGGCACAGTGGCTCACACCTTTGATCCCAGCCATTTGGGAGGCCTAGGCAAGAGGATCACTTGAGCTCCAGAGGCAATATAGTGAGACCCCATCTCTCCAAAAAATAAAAAAATAAAAGAAACTTAGCCAGGTGTGGTAGCACCCACACCTGTAATCTCACCTACTTGGGAGGTTTAGGTGGGATGATTGCTTGAGCCCGCTGCAGTGAGCAGTGATTGTACCACTGCACTCCAGTCTGGGTAACAGAGCAAGAGCCTGCCAAAAACAAACAAACAAACAAACAAACAAAACACACCAAAAAACAAATTTCCCCAAAGTTTAGTAACTTAAAACACATGTATTTATTATCTCATAGAATTTCTGACGGTCAAGAACCCACAGATGAGCTAACTGGAAGGTCCTGGATCTTCATTAGAATTTCTGTAGTCAAGTGGCAGGCAGGGCTGCAGTCATCAGAAGGCTCAACTGGGGTGAGAGGATCCACTTCCGAGTTCATTGGAAGGTTGCGGTTGGGCCTCTGTACTTTGTTGGCAGTTGACCAAAAGCTTTGGTTCCATGGTGTCTCTTATGATCTAATCTTGGAAGTAACATGCCATAATTTTTGCCATATTCTTTTGACCACATAGACAGACCCTGGTATAATGTGGGAGCGGAATATAAAAGGGCATGAATACCAGGGGGTATGGATCATGGGGAGCCATTTGGAAGCTGGCTACAACAGCACCAAGACCAGTGCCTGATACACAGTAGGTACTTATTCATTAGTCACTGCTATAACGCTTGCAATGACCTATCACAGTCTGGTTGAGAAGACAAGATCTGGACATGATAAGGTGAGAGATCTTTGGCGAAGTGAAATGTAAGTTGAATTAAACAATGCTCAATTACATTAGAAAAGGGTGTGCTGG